TAATTCACAATTTGTATGAATCAATACCTCGGAGAATTGAGGCTGTAATTGCCTCAAAAGGTGGACCTACACCATATTAAAATATATTTTGTTGATTTTCCAAGGTGTTTCCATTATTTTGTCCAACCCCTGTATATATAATGTTCTTACATATGTATGTATAAACTTCAATTAAAGTTTTGTTTGAAATTCCTAAATTAGTTGTCAGTTATTTGCACCAACATTGAAAAAAACATTACTTCAGAAAAATATTTACAGTGTAAGAAGAAAAATCTCATGGATAAACTGCTTATTACACTGATGTGTGGAAATATTTATGGCTTAAAAACAAATATTTCCTGAATAAACTGCTTATTACACTGATGTGTGGAAATATTTATGGCTAAAAACAAAGATTTCCTGAATAAACTGCTTATTACACGATGTGTGTAAATATTTATGGTTTAAAAATAAAGATCTCTACACAACCTGAAGCAGAATGAATAGCTAGATAACAAGCAATATGAACATTTAGAAAACCTGAGTCAATATCAGTAATCTAACAACAGGAATATATCAACAGCCAGACTGTTAGAGGGACCCCCAGTCACTTCAGTCTTTTGAGGCCCCTGGTTATAATAAAGATAAAAAATGATGACATATGAAAACAAAATAAGACAATCATTAGCCCCCCCCCCAAAAAAAATGAAAACACAACTTGAATATTTAGTTTGTATGTATAATTTGAAACTCTAAGCTGAGAGTGTGTGTCATATTTTGGTCTGATAGGCGGGCACATAAAAGCAAGTTACAAAACTTAACAAATTAAAAAAAGAGAGTGTCTAAATATGAGGCACTCCTTAAGCCTGAAGCCCAGGCCAAATAGACTTCATTCCCACATCTACTGACCACGGAGTACCAGGGAACGACTTCAATCTCTACTGAGCAGGGAACAATTTCATTCTCTACTGACCGGGAAGTACCAGGGAACGACTTCAATTTCTACTGACCAGGAAGTACCAGGATACGATTTCATTTTCTACTGACCCGGAATTACCATGGAACAACTTCAATTTCTACTGATAAGGAAGTACCAGGGAATGATTTCATTCTTTACTGACCAGGAAGTACCAGAAAACGATTTCATTCTCTACTGACCAGGAAGTACCAGGGAACGACTTCAATTTATACTGACCAGGAAGTACCAGGATACGATTTCATTTTCTACTGATCAGGAAGTACCATGGAACGACTTCAATTTCTACTGACAAGGAAGTACCAGGGAACGCAACAGTCTTAAGCGACGCCTATTGGTAGAGATTTTAAACAGACCTAATGCAAAAATAGGACGAGAAAATCAGTGAATAAGAAATAGAACAAAACATGAGTCACGTAACGATGCACATAAATATGCTGGATTAGTAGAGAATGAAATCGTTCCCTGGTTCTTCCTGGTCAGTAGAGATTGAAGTCGTTTCCTGTTACTTCCTGGTCAGTAGAGATTGAAGTCGTTCCCTGGTACTTCCTGGTCAGTAGAGAATGAAATCGTTCCCTGGTACTTCCTGGTCAGTAGAGAATGAAATCGTTTTCTGGTACTTCCAGTGTTGAATGCTCCCAATGAGCTAAACGTGATACACGATTTTAAAATTACTAATTGCAGGAAAGAAGATGATCATCATCAGAACACTCAACGAAATACACGTTACCTGCAGCTTTAATACAGAGAAAATCTTTTATAGGAGACCACAGAATATCAACCTGGTGAGTGATTAGAAGATAGAATATTTCATCCTGATCAAAGAGTAAAAACGTTTTTGTAATGTGATTGAACTGCCTCAGACGTTTTCTTTTCGAAAGTAATGTTATGCGTTTCTCTCCTTGGCTTTTTAGCACTGTAAATGAATATTTTCAGAATTGCTTGAAACAAAGAATTCGGTTGAAAATCCTTAAACGATTTTACTTTCCTGAGGAAAATTAATAATTGGGAATTAGATAAGAACAATATAAATATTTTAATGACATTTCCTTTGCTTAATTTCAACAGAACAAGTTGCTTATCTTAATTTACTACTAAAAATTTCTGATACCTATACTGTATTTTACCTTTTTCCAAAATTAGTATTGAAAGCTAAATCCTTTTTTTTTTCTCTGTGGTATCATAGGAGTTGCACACCTAGCAGCGATATTATTCAGTTGGATCACTTTGAACTTAAATTTTAACTCAACAATCAACGAAATAAAATGACAATTTATTTAAAATGTTATGATTGTATTTTATTTAGTTTCTAAGGTAGTGTCCTGATGTTGAAAAAACAACAATAACAAAAAAAAAATGTTACTTTGATCAGCCTGTTGTCCGAACCTCCATTCAGTATGTCTGTAGGTTAACATATATTAGAGAGCGTTCAAATATCACATAAATCTCATAACTTTTGCACCCTCAATAATATGAACGTTTCTGTTCTTCGTACTAAGGAATTCATAAGTTACACTTTCCCACCCACACTACTGGATCCTTCATACCTCGAGAACATTCCAATATAATGAAAGAGAAATAGAATATCAACAAAAACTTTATGCTTGTTTATCATCGATATCTAAGTTTGAAAAGTATTCATACTTTGATAAAAAATTTAAAAAAAAACGATCTTTACACTCCAGATTTATATTTAAAAAATATTTTTATCTTAACCAACGTTTCGCCTTTGCGGCTTTCTCAGGGTTAGCCTTAACCCTGTTCAGTTTTGTGATAATATATAAATAGCTGTCTGGTCTAAAAGTTTCCTTATTTAAAAAACTGATGTTGGAGAAGACAATACAACCTCGACATATGTGGTTAATGTCTCGTAGAATACTTTAACGTCTGCATGAATTTAATTGAAAACGTTAATTACCATACCTCACTGCTAGATATAAATGTTGTTAAAATACTCGAAGTTTTCAAAGCATATAAGTCTTAACGAAAGGTCATCGTTCATGTTACTCTCACTGCTAGCTGAATAAATTGTGTACTAATGTAAGTGTAGACTAAATGTTATGTTACTGCAGTAAGTGTGGACTAAATGGTGTACTAATGTAAGTGTGGACTAAATGTTATGTTACTGCAGTAAGTGTGGACTAAATGGTGTACTAATGTAAGTGTAGGACTAAATGTTATGTTACTGCATTATGTGTGGACTAAATGGTGTACTAATGTAAGTGTGGACTAAATGTTATGTTACTGCAGTAAGTGTGGACTAAATGGTGTACTAATGTAAGTGTGGACTAAATGTTATGTTACTGCATTATGTGTGGACTAAATGGTGTACTAATGTAAGTGTGGACTAAATGTTATGTTACTGCAGTAAGTGTGGACTAAATGGTGTACTAATGTAAGTGTGGATTAAATGTTATGTTACTGCAGTAAGTGTGGACTACATGGTGTACTAATGTAAGTGTGGGCTAAATGGTGTTTTAATGTAAGTGTGGACTAAATGGTGTTTTAATGTAAGTGTAGACTAAATGGTGTAGTAATGTAAGTGTGGACTAAATGGTGTTTTAATGTAAGTGTAGACTAAATGGTGTACTAATGTAAGTGTGAACTAAATATTGTATTACTACAGTAAGTAAGTGTAGACTAAATGGTGTAGTAATGTAAGTGTAGATTAAATGTTCTACTGTTGTAAATGCTAGAGTATGGATTGCGAATTGTTTATCAATACAATGTAGTACTTTATGCCAAGACGTGTACTTGTTATACGTTTAACATCTTTGTTCTTTTGCTAGATTATGAAATGTGCATTGTTTGTGGTGGAAAATATGAGAACCATGGCAACCATATACTAGTGTCGGTGTTTCAAAAGCAACTGTTAGTATGAAGTATTAATTTTGATTTTTGTATTTCTGTTTAAGGTATCTCTCTCTCTCTCCCAAGAAACTACTTTATAAAAGGGGGTTTCTATTTTTCAGCGTGACTTTTTTTACTTTCATTATTAAACATTGATACGTATGTATGTTTACATGATTCGTAATTACAACATTAGTCCACATTGAGATTGTTCTTTGTTATACTTCTAGACATGAATGATAATATATACTTCGCACATGTATATATTACATTCAGGACTACACAATCCGCTAGAACTATAAACTGGCTAAATTGACTAGTAGAACGTGTTTTGTAACACCGTTTTTTATTTTTCCTTAACCCTAAAACAGCCAACAGCAATAGCTTTAGTGAGGTTCGTAAGTTACATAACTTGAGGATAGCTCGAAATGCTGTTACAAAATACTTTCATAAGTTAAATCTTTTGGAAAATGAAAACAAAGTAAGTGCCCACTGAAAGAATGTCCAATAAAAGAATTAAGTAATTGATCACAATAAGAAATACGATAAAGAACGTAAACGGGAGCTTTAATTGGAAGTGACGTTAGAATATTTACATTCAGTTTTCTAGAAGTACACAAATAACAGATAGAACAGAAAAACAAATGTTTGATGTTACAAAAAAATTCAGAAACGGAAATGTCAAAAAGACTAGAAAATATCTGATTACAAGATAAACGGTGAGAATATGGATTACAAAATAAAATTAGACTGTTAAAAAATAAGAAGAAGAAAAAACGATAAAGAACCATAAAAGGTAAAAGAAAATAAAGTATGAAAAACATTTCAAAGATAAAATTCGAAAATAAATATGAGGAAATATTTAAAGGAGATGTAAGATGTTAACCCCAATCTTACTCTCAAAAGTAGCTCCGTGTATAATATTCGAAACCTTTGTCTTCTAAAATAACTTGTTGCTAAGTCTTATCTTCGGATTAGTTTGCAAACTTGTTAAAAACAAGATTTTCTATAGGAGCGTTTGTAGGATCAGTTACGTGTTCAGGTTTGACGATTCTGCCATTACCTTTGTTGCTAACAAACATACTGATAGCCAGAACTAAAACCATAGAACTGAGTATTCCATCTTAGATAGATAGATTAGGCCAACAGGTCACATAGAGCCAGTATAGAATTATTAACCAACAAAACGAGGACAAGGACGTCAAGGAATGAATACAATTTTATCTAACCCTAAGAAAAGTTCAAGAAAGTTCGCTTGCTGCTTCCTTCATCTGACGTCACCTAACCCACTCGCGTTACAATGGAAAGCAACATTCTCTGCGCAAAAAAAAATCACGACAGTAAAAGTTTAGTAAACATAGTGGAAACAACTTATTTAAGAAAATTTGGAACAAGATGCTAGAAATCGGTGGACTTAGTATAAACTATGAAACTTTTAAGTCTCCCTGTGGGTTAGCGGTAAGTTAACGGATTTACATCGTTAAAATTCAGGGTTCGATTCTCCACGGTGGAAAAAGTGCATATACCTATTGTGTAGCAAAGCTTTTCAATAAGAAAAAAATAACATCAAACCTGTAATATTGTTAATATTCTATAATCATAGTTCCTAGAGGTAAACCAGTCTTTTATGTAAACGTTGTAAACTGACACTATTCTTAGTAACTGAAAGTCATGGATTTTAGCATGCTTAGTGTTTACTGTGTAAAGTTGTTCAGGTGTTTTGTTATGTTTGTAATTATGCACAAAGCTTCACAATGGGCTATCTGTGCACTGCCCACCACGGGTATCGAAACCCGGTTTCTAGCGTTGTAAGTCCGCAGACAAAACGCTGTGCCACTGGGGGCGTTTTGTGATGAACTTGTTAGTAACATAGTTCAGATGTTTCACCATGAATTTGTTTGTAACGAGGCTCAGGTGTTTAGTTATAATTTGATGATTTAGTGTTTTGATATATGTCTATATAATTATTGAAGAAATTACAGTTGGTCTTAACAGACTAGGAAAGATAGATTTTCCATAGAGAATACCAAAGGTTTCCTTTGAATAATATATATATATATGATAAATCAATATGATTTTAAATGTAATGAATCGTAGTTTAAAATTAGTTAGTGACTTTGAAACTATTATTTTTTTTCTCTCTCTCTCTAACGCTTTTCATAAAGTTTTCAAGAGCGTGAAACACTTCAACATTAATCGGGATCTATATGTAATAGTGGAATATAAGACAGAAACGACCCTTCTCGAGGATATATGTAGAGCATTGAACTATAAGACAGAAACGAACCTTTTGAACGATTTATGTAGAACATTTGAATATAAGACAGAAACGATCTTTCTCGAGGATATATGTAGAACATTGGAATATAAGACAAAAACGACCGTTTTCGAGGATTATAAGTAGAGCGTTGGACTGTAAGACAAAAAGAACCTTTTTCGAGCACCTGGAATTAGGTAATTAGTAAAAGCAAACCACCGCCATAAGGCGCTACTCATCCATCAATAGGAAGGACGCCATTGAAATGAAAGTTACTTAAAGGTGAAATTGTTCCAGAGCATCCAGTAATATTGAACATAGCCTATTGTATCTGGAGCTTTCCGCCAAACAACGTTATCAAAAATTAGAATTACGATCACAACTTTTAGAATAAAATAGCAAAGATACCCTGCACCATTAATCCAGAAATTTGAAGTTCAGAAAGATGCCGCAACCAAGAAAATCAGGAACCATTTTACAGATTTGTTTCCAGCTTCTTAAGGTAAGAAATGTTTTATGTTAAAAATAAAAAAACATCGAAAACTCTTATTAGTTGGCGAATTTTACTCACTTTTTGTTTCTCATTATTTTAAATGTACTTTAGAATTTTAAAGCTTTTTTTAAAGCTTTCCGTTTCTATTAATTTGAGTTATTTAACCGCATACCCTCCATTACTTTCAAACCTTTAACCACTCTTTGTTTTTCACACATTGAAAATTTTTATACTGTCACCAAGTGTCGTTTTTCATGTTTATAGCACTGCTTTCTACTACTAGTCCACAATGTCTTTAGTTACCTATAGCCTTCAGAACTAACTTGTCGTATTAATTTTATATTACAAAACGGCATTTACTTCTAACATTTTCTAAACGAAAACTTCTCTTGTTCAAATTTCTTAGAAACTTTTATTTGTTATCAACCGAAAAACCAAAGTTTATAACCTCAAACATTTATTTGCTAGCTTGCTTTATTTAGATCATTTAGTGAGTTGAGTAAATAAATTGCAAATGGGTTTTAATTATAATAAATGAAAAATAATGCATGTGGGTTATCATAATTTGAATTATAAATATAATTTGGGTGGGAATAACCTTAATAGTGTCATGAAAGAAAGGAATCTTGGTGTGATGTTTGATCAGTCGCTTAAGGCATCCAAACTGTGTGCTATTGCTAGTGGTAGGGTAAATAGGATTTTAGGTCTTATCTACAGAAATATCGAATACAAGTCTAAAGAGGTTATAATTTCATTGTATAGGTCACTGGTTAAGCCACATTTGGAGTATTGTGTTCAGTATTGGGCTCCTTACCTTAAGAAGGATATTGAATTGTTGGAAAGAGTTCTAAGGAGGGTTTCTAGAATGGTGCCTGGGATGGAAAGGTTGAAATCTCTCAAATTATTTTCTCTTGAAAAAGGAAAAGTTAGAGGGGGTCTGATTGAGGTGTTTAGGATTGTAAATGGAATTGATAATGTTGATGCATCATCTTTTTTCTTACTGTTAAGACACAACTCCTCTTACTGTTAGGAGACACAAATATAAATTTAGGCAGGGTAGGAATCATCTTCAGTTTTATTTTTATATCAGGGTGGTTGGCCTTTGGAATGAGTTTCCTTCGGATTTTGTGGAGGCAGTAAATTTAAGTGAGTTTAAGAAAAAACTTAATTGATATAAGAATGATAAGGGCTGGCTTTAATTTTATGTTTTAAAATATATTTATTAATAGATTTAGTTTAGTTTAGAAGATGGAACAGCCAAGATCGACGAATAGGTCCCATGTTGGTCCAAAATGTTATGTTATGTTATATTCAAATGTTTTACCTCAACCTTTTTTGTTTTTCTGAAAACCATTTTATTCCTCTAGATACACTGAGCTTTACTTGTAACCTTTGTTTATTTTTTCAGAGGCTATCTTTGCAAAGCACGTCAATACTTTTGACCTGTTAAACCAGAGAAAAGTCAGCTAGCAAACAATAACCATTGGTAATTCTCGTGCTACTCTTGTATGACCTAATACTGAGGTTTGATCGTTACTTTTATAACGCATTTATGGCTCTAAAATTCGGACTGCGTTTTCTTTTGCGCGAATGTGTAGCGAACTAGGAATCCTCAGATTCACAGACTGGGCACGCGAACTACCAAGCCACACCCGTCCTAATTTTTAGTGTGAGATTTTTATATTTACACGTTTAATAACTTAATGTCTGCTTTAAACTTATTTTTATACGTGGTTAATATCCAGCAAAAATTCAATACTACAAAAACAGGTTTGGTTTTAGTGTTTCTGCAATTATAGCTCGATTGAAGTTTAACTGATTGAAGACTTTCGTTGAAGATGACTTTTCAACAAACTATACATACAAACAAACACTAAATGCCCAGTTTTAAGTGTACCTAGCGCATAGAGCGATCTTTAATGGTATCCCGACGTTTCGGTTTTGAACCTTTATCAATGGTTATGAGTGTTGTCAGTAGTTATAAGCCTTGCTAAAAGTGCGAAACTGAAACTTCTGAATGTAGATAAAATAAATACCTGGAGATAAGGCTAATTTTATTCACGAAACCATTCAAAGCCGTTTCATATCCTAAAGAAATGTGTGTCCCGCCGATAGGCATGATACACGATGTGCAACATTTAAAATCAGTGGATATGAATGTAAAGTATATCCACTAGAATATTAAGTTCAAATTATTCACTCCTCACATTTAGAAAGATCAGTTTCAAAGATTATGTTGTGGATCGAGAAAGTTTTATTTTTAATGAAAACTACAAATGAACAAATCTAACTCATTTTTACATTTCAGATTCCTTAGAGATTATCAGATCTGATCTTGCTTTCGTGTGGAGTAGGATTCAGTGGAAGAACGTTAAGAAAGAAAACATGAAATGTATTCAAGCATAATCATGTGATATTAGTTTCATTCAGAAACTTTTGGTTTGGGATTGGTCTCCTCAACCTTCCACAAGAATTCATTAGTACTACTCTTCTAACTTTGTTCACTAATCTGATTTGTAGGGCTGTCCTACACGTTCAAGGAATTCATTAGTACTAATCTTCTAACTTTGTTCAATAATCTGGACTGTAGGTCTGTCCTACACCTTCAAGGAATTCATTAGTACTACTTTTCTAACTTTGTTCAATAATCTGGACTGTAGGTCTGTCCTACACCTTCAAGGAATTCATTAGTACTAATCTTCTAACTTTGTTCAATAATCTGGACTGTAGGTCTGTCCTACACTTTCAAGGAATTCATTAGTACTAATCTTCTAGCTTTGTTCACTGATCTGGTCTGTAGGGCTGTCCTACACCTTCAATGAATTTTTTAGTATCACTCTGCTAATTCCTTAATAATGAATTTGTTATACTCTAAACTTTGATAATGCTAACTGTAGCACTTCGATAACTCTGAGGGCTTATCCTGCTATAAATCAGGTTTCGATAGCCATAGTAGGCACAACATAGATAGAACATTACGCTTAACAACAAACAAATAAAGCTAATAGTGAAAAACTGAAACAGACATGTGGCTAAAGAACAACAGCTCTACAAAAAAGCTGATTCGAAAAAAATATCGAGAATATATTTTGTTCTTGTCATTCGTTTAGTACGTGAAAAGAGTTTTATCAATTTTAGTTTCAATTTTTAGGTGTCGTTTCTGACAGTAGGACAAAGAACTTTTCCATCGGATATGCCACAGTTGGAGAACGTAAATGTGGATTGTGCTACGGATGGGATGACAGTAACGCTAGAATTTGATAAGTTGTTTGGAGGAGTAATTTACGCTAAAGGTTTCTATGACAGCGAGATTTGTCGTTTTATCACCCCCAGCTCGCGAAGTGCACGAAGTTTCATATTTAAGATCCCCTTAGCCACGTGTGGGACACTGGGACAATTGGAGGTTTTATCACATGACCAAGACATGTATTTGGAAAATACAGTGATCATACAGAACGACCCTTATATTCAGGAGGTATGGGACCATGCTCGGCGCCTGCGGTGCACATGGAGTCACACACTGACCAAGGCATTGATCGCTCGGCCCTTCGAAACTTACAAGCCTTTTACAGTACCAGTAACTTTCACTCAAGATACAATCAATACCCTAATGGAGATCCAGGTAGGGAAGGGGCCCTTCTCCGCCCCTGCTACTGGATACTTGCACGTTGGGGATGAGACCAGCCTCGTGGTCTACCTTCAAGACCCAACCAACAGATTTGACGCGAAGATGATGGGGTGTAAGGCGTCTAATGGAAAAGGACTTTCTGTTGCCCTAACCGACGAAAATGGTTGTGTCATGCAACCTGAAATGATGACGCCATTTTATAAAACACGTGATACGCGCGACACAGGCGCTGATATGATTATGTACACTTATTTCAAAGCTTTCAAACTGCCTGACACTACACGTTTTTACATTCGTTGTAACATGGCAGTCTGTCTTGAAGAATGTAACAGTGACTGTGCTGCTGAACAGAATAACAAAACGAATAGACGGCGACGTAATACTGAAGTTACCAATATCGTAACGACTCAGCTTTTTCGTGGATTGACTGTACTTTCTAAATACGACCTAGAGATGGCGCTGTATGACACAACAGGGGAATATTGTTTGCCTAAAGCATATTTTGTTGCAGGCGGATCCGTAGGGACAATAGTTCTGATGTTACTCATTGGCGCCGCTATAATAGCATGGAAAAAAATAAAAATATATAAGGTTTTGTTGAAGAAATACAAAGATATATCCCACGAGCATATGAGACACTGCTGATTTTGAACAAAGTATATAAAAATTCTGACAGCTAACAGCCCAAACTCTGACATTTATCTCTGTGGTACTCACTGTTGATTTTAAAATTCGTATAAAAAGAAAATTATTCCTAGCTTACTCTTTCGCTTGTTAATTTTTGTAACTTGTATTGATTAAGCATTACCACCCATGTAGTCATAAACTTGTTAAGAATGTAACGAACTATGTCAGAATAATAAAGATAAATTGAAATGTGTAACCATTTTCTGTAGTAGACCCACACCACTGCTTCTTTATGTGTTTACATTGTGTAGATGTTCCAAAACTAGCTGGCGATAGATAATGTTTACCTGTTGACGTTATGTGGATGTTCCACCATTAGTTTGGTGTTAATATTTTATTTACTGACGTTGTATGGATGATTCACAATTACTTTGGTGTTAATGTTTTATCTGCTAACGTTGTCTGAATGCTACAAAAGTTGTTTGTTGCTAATGTTTTATCTGTTAAAGTTGTGTGGATGCTCCACAACTAATTGTTGTAAATATAAGTTAATATTCTGTAGCCATGAAACGATTCATCCTATCCAAATCTCTCTTTTATTAATGCGTAGCCGTGAAACTATTCATTCAATTATAATTGTATTTTAAATAATACTTTACATGTATTCAAAGTAAATGTACCTGAATTATTAACCGATGAAATAATTCTCAACTTTCTTATTTTTCTGCTAAAAAGTTTAGAACTTAAAAACACATGATTGGGAAGTGAGTTAATTATTTGTGGTATAAACGCATTTGATATGAATTGAGTAAATTAGATGGCGCCAGAAATCCCTTAATTACTCAATTCTGTTTAAATTCTTATGTCTCAGTGTACATGAGTAAAGATTCTTAGAATAGGAAATACGCTTCACAGTGGTCACGAGCAATATTGCAAACACTAACCTTCTCTGCCAAAAACATAAATTCTTAAGCATATGATATAAATGTCATTTTTTCTAAATCCAGATCAATAACAATATAATTACAAAAATGTAGAAACTGTAACAGCTTCTGTGCTGAAGAATAAAAGGAGTTCACAGCAGAGACGACTACATAACTTGCAGCTAGTAACATCTATCCTGGAAGGTTTTTCTAGAATTCTGAAAATTTAACAGAACAAACGTAAAGGATATTCTCACGTTGTTAAAACGTAACATACCAATAATTATAAAGATATTCTAGCATTGTTAAAACATATTAAAAACCATGAAGACAACGTCACATATAATTTTATCGTGATATATTTAAATAATCATCATAATGCATATTTCAGTATTGTTCAGTTAAATCGTATTATCCAAGTATTTGGACCATCTTTCAGTCTGTATTTTACTTTCTCGGGAAGACAAAATTCCAGTAAAACAAGAATGGGTTGAACACAACTAATAACCCGTTTGTGCGTGACACATGTAACACATACTTGTATAAAATATTCTCGTCAGGACGTTGAACTTTCATTGACTATTTATCTCGACAAGTAATATCAAATTTATTTATCTTTACTTGTACTTCCAGCGTGACAAAAAAAAAAACAGAGGTTATGTCGGAAAGGGTTTACTGACTTTTTCGTTTTTTAAAGAACGAAAACATTTATTGGTTAGCGTCTCTTTATTATGTATAAACTGAACTTTTCTAACTCGACTCAGTGATAAAAAAAAAAGACTAGCTTACTGAATCACCAGTTCTGAATGATGTATAAAGTTAATTAGTAAAAGAAATAATGTGCTTTCAATGAGACGCACTAACCACAGTGGTACTGGTTCATCAACAGCTTTATGTTTTCAATGAGGCACGTATTGATCAGAATGGTAATAGTTAAGATCACTTGCATTTTTAATAGTTTTGGTACTGATCACAATTTTACTGTTTAAAAGTGCTGAATTTCAGTATTAGACTGTTCGGATCTGTGAAAAACTGAAATATTACTACCTATATAAAAATATGTAATTAGCAGATTCTGAGTATTTAATCAAATAAATGATACCGTTAAAAACACAATAGTGTTTAACAAAAAAATAATAATTTTTTTTGGCACGTGTGTAATGTTAAATGTTAAAAAACTCACAATTTTTAAAAAACAACGATTATTTTATACACAATTCTATAAAAATTAGATTGTTTACAGTCTCCAAATTACTAAAATACAATAACTTACCGTACAGGATAAAAAGTGGTAAAAAACCCGATGAGACTGGAATATTGTTATTCGACAAAATAGAACTTTTATAGCCGAGAAGGAAAAAAAAGTGTATTTATTGCATTTAGCTCTTATCTAAGGAAATGAATGAAGACTGGATGGAATGGGATAGGAAGTCATGGATAACTACACACAAAAATATTGCTACCTGTAAAACTTTATTAATTCAGAAAAAAGAAGTGAATGAATAACATTATAAACTAGATTCATACAATAGTTTTTTTTAAATAACCCTAAAGTCATAAATAAATATGATTTAATACTAAATGATAAACAGATTGATGTTTTAAACAGAGGTTTAAATTTCTCATTTGGTCCAAATAAAGGTTTTAAAAAAGTATATCATAACTGAAATTGAAACTAACTTGAAAAATTAAATGATGAAAAGCGCATATTATTAGAAGCGAGTGTTGCACTTTAATAAATAATTTTAAGTTCAAAAATAATTATAAAAAAGACTTTGAAATTTTGAAAAATTTAAAGGAACAAGATGTTGTCATTTGCAAGGCTGATAAAGGGTGACAAACTGTTATTCTTAATAAAATATTATTATGATTCTAAAGTTGAAGACATTTTGAAAGAAGGTCCGTATGAGAACATTAAATGTAATCCTATAAATAAATAAGCTTCATATAATAGTTAAATAAAAATATAAGAGTTGTATAACTCTAGCACCTTATGAAAAGCAAAGCTTAGTTCCCAGTAACTTTATTTTACCTAGATTATATGCCTTGCCTAAAGTAATAATTTCAGACCTATTGTAGCCAATATTAAGAGTTCAACTTATAATGTAGCAAAACATATATCTAAAAACTTCTCATTTTTAAAGGATAAAATATAAATACAGAGTTAAGAATTCGTTTGAATTTGTGGAAAGAATTGAGCATATAATTTTAGATCAAAAAGATATTTTGGTGTCATATGACGTTGTGTCAATGTTCACCAAAGTACATGTGAAAAAAGCTATTGAATGTTTTGAGAAAAACTGAAAGAAAATAATAATTTAGTCTTAGAAATAATGGATATAATTAACCTGGTAGAAGTATGTGTTGAAAACTCATTTTTTCAAATTAATAGCAAAGTTTGTAAACAGAACGAAAGTTTGGCTGTGGGTTCT